GGTGGGATGGGGAGGGAGAAGGAGGAGGGAAGAGGGGAGGGGAAGGGAGGAGGAGGGAAGGGTAGGGAGGAAGAGGGAGAAAGGAAGGAGAGTGGAGGGGGGAGGGAGATGGAGGAAGGGAAGAGGAAGGGAGGGGAAGAGAGGGAGAGGGAGGGGAGGAAGGGAGACTGGAGGAAGCGGAGGAGGAGGAGAGGGAAGAGGAGGGAAGGGAGGCGGGGGGAGGCGATGAAGGGAGGGGGAAGGCGGAGGGGAAAGGGGCGACGCGCGCGAAGAGGGAGGAGGAGAGGAAGAGAGGGGACGGAGGAGGGGAGGGAAGGTAGGGAGAGTGTAGGGGAAGGTAAGAGGGAGGAGGAGGGCGGGAGTGGGGTGGGATGTGGGTCATCTCAGTGAGGCGAGCGCAATGGCAGTGGAAGCATGGGGAACAGAAGAATGGTAGGGATGGCGCGCGTGCGAGAGAGTGCAGGGCCAGATGGGGAAGTGGGTAACATGGGCGGAGCGCGAGAAGGGTCCATATGGGGCGAGCGTCGGCGCGCCCACTCGACGCGGGTCAGAGGTGAAGCGAGGGGGCCAGCGCGAATTCGCATCCCGCAGAAGTGGTAGGATAGTGTTTCGAGGGCAATAGTGGCCGGGGACGGGTGAGGATGTTGGCTGTTCGAGAGACGGAGTGTGAACCGTCAGGCGAACAAACAGGCGAGTGAAGATGGTAGGGAGCAGTGGGCGCGCGGTGCGTGTGTGTGTCGGCCGCGCTGTGCGCGCGTGCCAAGCTATGCCGAGCGCCACCGACGGCGAGGCGACGTCTCTGTGTGTGTTTGTAGCCGACGCCCGCCCCGACACCATACATCCCCTCCACGCTCGCGCGACGCTCTCCCTCGACGGAACGCACGCGCTCACTAACCGCAATCCGTTGCGGTGGAGTAGCGGAGCACTGCAGAGCCTGCCCATGAAGTGTGGGCGCCTCCCTCGGCACCTCCCGCGTTCCGCCTGTTGCTCCCCTCCCCTTCCCCTCCCCTTCCCTCACGCCCTCCCCGCCTCCCCTCCCCTTCGCGCGCGCCCCGTGGTCGCTGCGTGGCTTTCAAGTGCTGGAGAGTTGAACAATGACCAGATCTTAAATTGGCAACCGTGTTTGGGAATCATTCATGGTTTGTTGCATGCGAGTAATCAGCAGAGCGAATGTAGGCCTGTGAGAAATGTCCCAGACTGGCATGACATTTGGCCTGTAAGCGCTTAAGCACGGTATTAAGTGTATAGGAAAATTAAAAACCGTGAACTAAATGGTGAATCTTCCCAAACTCAACTTTACTTCTATCTAACGGATCCCCGGTTAACAGTACGGGATGGGTTAGTTCCAGAGGGCAAGTAGCACAAGGGACAGCTGAAAGGCGAGTGAGACAGAATGCCATTGAGTTGACGAGGACCGTTTGTCTATTGTTTTAGTTTTCCTTGCAGCAAGTTGTTCTTTGCAGATGTTTTCCAATGAAATAGCAGAAGATGTGTGAACATATTGCGGGACCCCGATGCATCCGCTTCCAGAGACACACAGTACCTACGCAGAGTTATGAGGTATTTTGGACTTGGGGCTGTCGGAACTAGGTGAATAGATGTGCCCAGCCTGAAGCACTTACGTGCTGCACACGAGAGGGGATAAATATGCTGCCACACTGTTAAAACTTGATGGTTTGCATTCTCCTTTTACATAGGGAAAACTTTGAGTCTCATCGCGCGAAACCTCGGCTCCGCCTCTCGCCAGGAAGTCACTTTCTCCAGTGGATAAACAGGAGCTTACCGTTTGAAACTGCTTCCAAATCCCATGCTTGGTCCTCTCAAGCGTTGCACATTCCCTACTATTACCTTTCTTTTTTTCTCATAAACCAATCCCTAAGTGTTATTTCCAACCAGAGATACATAGAGTCTATTACTGCCGACAAACGGAATTCACACTAGGAGGGGGAATGCCCACATAACGTTTGGGAGGCCGAAACCCTATGGAGGACATCTGGGAGGTCCATGTTTTGGACACAGGATAGAACACATACACAAACTGGCCAAGAAAAAGCAAGGTGACTGCTACACAACTAACAAAGGATCTTCTGGTCTCTGGCTAAGTTATAAATTAAAGCTTGGCTAAGTTTAATCTCCCAGAGAAAAACCTTCTTTTAAAAAGTAAATAAACTTCTCTTCAAAACTTACAAAAGTTGACAATTTCTTCAGCAAAGCCACTGATTTGCCTTTCATGGACCAACATTCTCCAGAATTTTGGAGCAGAAAAAAAAGGGCAAAGATTCAGTCAATGGGGCTTTGAGGTTTGAATCCCAATTTTACTTACCACCAGCTGTGAGAGTTTTAAGTGACCTCACTGAGGAAGGATTGAAATGTCAGTAACAATTGCCCTGTTGTTACTGAGCGGAATAACAACAATGGTATGCAAAGCACCTGAACATTAAATGGCATAATCTTTATAAGGCACTTTATAAGTGCAAAGTGCTTGGTTGAGAGCAGACACTGTGCAAATATTAATTCCTTTCCTTTTAGGTAATTCCCCACTCCTTTTATCTAACACACTATCACAAACACAAATTGATCGTCTATAATGGGCGAGCTATACTCAGCCTCCTGTAGCAAATTAAAATCTAATTCCTAAAAAAATTAAATTAAATTAAAAAATAAAATAAAATTCAAATTCCTTCTTCCAAATAAGAAAACTTCTTAAAGATTCAAATAAACCTGACCATCAAAACAGGCCTAAGGATTCAGTAAACTCAAGCCTATTTCGGGCAAGATCAACAACCGACCACATTGAAAACTAACATGTCTCCATGATGTGTCCCTTGATAGATTCAGGGCAGTTAGAGCCTTTGTGGGTACTGCTGAAGTGACCAACATACATTGGAGTTCCGATGCAACATGCAGCAATATGTTCATTCATTCTACAGTAAGTGCAAGTCGTGTGGCCTGTGCACAGTTGGCCCAGCCCCTCTCAAGCCCTTCCTAGAGACATTTTAGAAATGCTCAAGAGGGCCGGGCGCTGTGGCTCACGCCTGTAATCCTAGCACTCTGGGGAGCCGAGGCGGGGCGATTGCTCGAGGTCAGGAGTTCGAACCAGCCTGAGCAAGAGCAAGACCCCGTCTTCTACTATAAATAGAAAGAAATTAAGTTGGCCAACTAAATATTATATAAAAAAAAAATTAGCCGGCATGGCTGGGCGCATGCCTGTAGTCCCAGCTCTCGGGGAGGCTGAGGCAGAAGGATTGCTTGGAGCCCAGGAGTTTGAGGTTGCTGTTGAGCTAGGCTGACGCATGGCACTCACTCTAGCCTGTGCCAACAAAGTGAACTCTGTCTCAAAAAAAAAAAAATAAAAAAAAAAAAAAAAAAAAAAAGAAATGCTCAAGAGGCATTGTGGAAAAAGGAGGAGGTCTTTGCATCAGCTGATAAGTAAAAGCAGCAGTGCGAGAACAGGACATCATCCTTCGGGACTTCGTCTCCAATTATGAATCCTAACCACCAGATTCCTAAGATGAATAGTTAGTGCTTCTCCAAGATAAACTGGGATCGATTTCAACCTGATGACTCTGTTACGTATACTTCAATTACCGCATATCATGAGTCCTCAAAATGGGCTTCCATTCTGCACATCAGAAAATATAAAGCTAAGACTGAATGCAACAGTCAAGAAACCATTAGTTTCACAATGATACAACCAATTTATATTCAAATGTCATTTTTAAAACTTTATGCTAGTTTTTTCTGGTAGTCAGGGATTGATACAAGTTTCCCACAAATTAAGGGGGAATAAATGTCTTGTTCTATGCGTATCTATACACACCAAACTCAGAATGCTGATTAGAATGAGGAAATTATAATTTAGCAAAATGTTAAATTATAAATGATAGGAGTTTTCTAAGTTTGACTTCAAGAGAACTTAAAAACAAATCTGAGTTTGAAACAATGGACAACTCTTTAGGTTAGAAATCACCGGTGTACCATTTTTTTTTTTTCAACCAAGAAGATTTATTGTTAGAGCCAAAATATCTCTCAACTGACCCAGCTCAAGAACATCTTCAGTCTTTCCTAGCCTTATCTCCTAAAAGGACCTGACATTTCCCTTCCCTGTGGCCTCCATGCACCCTGAAAGCATTTCTAACACAGCCCTTCTGCTCTTGCCAAGCTATGGTTTCATTCCTCTAATCCATGAGCCCCCCAAGGGGCAGGCTGTCCAAGTCACACCTGCCTTCCTCCCCTGGCACCTACCCCCGTTCCTGGCCCAGAAGACGAGCACCCAAGGACAGCTTGTGTGGGGCTGAAAATACACCTAAGTCCCCACTGCCAAAAATAGTGCTGAGGACGAGTACACAATACCTACAACAGCTGTCAAATCTTTTAAAACCCAGAAAACTAAACTTTTCCATACTATTCTCAAAAATGCATGCATGTTGCAGGAAGGGCAATCCCTGGACTGCAAATGAATTATTTATTCTTTAAAGAATGAATTTAGGTACCCCTAAATATCTGACAGGTGCTATAGAAAACATACTTCTTTTTCACTATGCACGAATAAAACAGATTTATGTGCCAGGTATCAATATAGTAGGCTCCACTAGTCCAAAATCGTCACCTTTGGTCTTGAAGAATTACTTGTCCAAAAGCACATTAGCTGGTCAGAGGCAGAATCAAGACTGGGGCTCACAGAAGACAGCTCTATTTCCCAAGCTGCCTTTCTCAATAACAGACCAGGAGTTATTTTTATGTTGATGTGTTTACCAGCTCTCCCTAGCTATTTCTTAAACAGGGTCCAATACATTTTAAAATTTATAAACAAACTTTTTTTTTAAAAAAAATAAAATACAAGCTGATTATATCGGCATTTAACTTCAAATAACTATACTAAAATATTAAAGTAACTTGGTTTTTTGGCATAATGTTAAAAGGAACACTGGTACCTTACAAAAATACTGAAATTGAGGATTTTTTTCCAATACACAGGTTTGTCATATTGTGATCTATTAACACTCTAATATGCACTAACTGACAAGACCAAGAATTAACACCCAAAAGCAAATCTGCAAATCTAGTTCTGCAATACTGTTGGCTAACGGATAACTACTTGCTCTGTTTTCTCCACCATTTCTTAAAGCATACCAAAAAAGAAAAAGAAAAAAAAAAGATTCACTTACCAAAAACAGAGAACCATATTCAAAAGTCTCATTCATAATTTCCTGTTTTAGCTCTTGTTTCTCCATAGGTATCCCATTTTCTTTTTCACCCTTCTTTTCAGGGCTAATCCCATCGATGCTGGGAACGTAGGTCATTTCCAAACATTCTGCATTTTCCATTTGAACAGGGAGCATGCCTTTGATCTTCTGAAAAAACGCAGCTATGGCCCCAGTCTCACAGGCTGAGTTAGGAGAACTTGCTTTGTCAACATCTTCCTGATTCGATTTCATGGCAGATGTTGTTCTTGGAAGCTTGTGGGAAGCATTTTTAGAATGAGTTGTAACATGCACAGCCTGGCCAGTGATGAGTTTATTAAATTGCTGCTTGTGCGTCTTGTTAATGAGGATTTCTGCTTTTGTGTCTGTGCTCAGGTCCGATCTTGGTGTTTTGCTCAGAACTGTCAACTGTCTTGAGGAAGATGCTGATGAGGGTGAAGAGGCACTGGTCACCTGGGGTCTTTGGGGGACTTTTGATAAGGTAGGGTCTTTGGGCTGCAACACTGGTCTAGACATAACCTTTGCTTTGACATTCTTGAAGTTGGGTCTTGGGTAACTTATGATTTCGGTTTTTCTAACTTTGCAGCCTATTGGGGTGTTTGTTTTGGTTGTTGATTTTCCTAGACTAGGTTTAGACATGTTCATAGGTGGCCCCTTCAAGGTTGACACATTTTTAAGTTCTCGATTACCCTTCCCCACTTTTTTACATTTCTCTGTCGCTTCAACAGGTGAAACAGAAAAGGTTATGTTTGTGGGTTCCTGGACTGGTGTCGACATGCAAACCGTGTCATTTGAGCTAATGACCATGTTCTCTGCCTCCCAAGTCAGTTCAAATGGCGAAACCATGTTTTGTCCTGGCGAGCTACTGAGTATCGATTCTGAGGTACAATTTTGGGTTCCCGAATCCTTTTCATTGGAGGCAATTTGTGTGTCTTCAGTCACAGTGACCTTAGGCTCTGGACTCAGCACTTGGGCTTTATTTTTATCAAAAGCTGGCACCACTAAAGGGCATTCATCATCAACAGGACAATTGGACACTGTCTCTCCCAGATTTTGGCCCATTTCCTTTTGCCCATATGAGCTCCATGAATGCGTGTCACTCTTTGGTTCATCTTTAGATAAACAAAAGAACTTCTGTGATGCAGACCCGTTGGGGACTTCCATGCCATCAGAAACTAGTGTTAGAGCTTGTATTTCTTTTTCTCCAGCTAGTCTTTGCTGTGACCCATCTGTGTACTCACTGGTGACCTTCCCGGCAGAATACTGACACTGATCTTCAATATCTGGAACAAAAACCTCAGTTTGCATCACGACATCAGAAAATCCTGTGTAAGTTGTGTCTTGAGCCTCTCCTGGAGTGGCTTGAGGTTTTTCAAAGTTCCTTCTGTCGTCACTAGTTTTTCTTGCATGCATCGTATCAGAATGGGAAGACGCCCAAGTGGAATAGGATAAAGATGATGTATTTCCGCTTTTCATACCGGTGGGTGGCAGACTCCCAGTGGAAGGCAAAGAGTGACTGTTTTCAATGGCGTGACGTGATATAATGGCGCAATTAATCTCATCCCCTGTCATGTCAAATGTCTGGTTTAGCTCCAACGAAGGAGAGCAGTCTCCATGATTCAAATCATCACCAGGCTTCCACACAAAAGGCAGAGATAGCTTGACACTCTGGTCCTGAACCGCTTCTAGGGAATGACGATTGTTGGGCAGATACTCACCTTTCTCTGTATTTACAACAAATGCAGGAGACTGAGGAATGGAATCTGTATGCACATCTAACACTGGCTTACTAAGGAAATCACTCGAAGACTTTTGGTGACTGAGTACTTCAACAGGCTGATGATTTAAAGAAATATCTTCACCACTGCCCACAGCAGGGTCAGTTCCATATTCGACCACCATGTCATCTGGGTTGGCAGAATTCCAGTTCACGTTTCCGGTTGATGGGTTTCGTGTAGGTGGCGATTTTGGGTTATATGCATATGTATTTCCATTTTTATCGCTGATAGCTAAGGATGGCAATTCATCTTCTGTCTTATCATCTGAATTATCATCATTCATCCTGAATATTAACTTTAAGCCTCTGCCATTTTATTTCTTCTTCAATTCCTTTCAAAGGAGAGGGAAGGAACAATTATCCACCTCGTAAGTTTTTCAGCACGGTTGAAAGCTTTTTAGTCTGAGATGCTTTGAAGACGAATTGATTTGTTGTTCCCTGGAAAAAATGAAATATGTCATTCAAGTAAATATTAGAAAAATTAACAGTTCACCCCTTGATTCATTTCATTTTCACACTTAGACCCCACAACTATTTTTTTTTTCCAGTAAGCATCTTCAGAAGAAGGAACCCACAACTATTGACGTGGGTAATTAAGGTATGATTGGCTAATCCTACCACTCCCTTTCAAAGATACTTATTTTTTTTTTTATTTGAGGGAACAGGGCAGAATGGGAGATGTAGACATGGCCAGTTGTCCCTGTGGCTGACTGCACAACTGACATTCCCTCCCTCCCTACACCCAGGGACTCCCACTTGTCACAAGAGGAGGACGCTAACTCTGGCAATAGTTCTCCCTTCTTGTTGGATGACAGAGTGATCATTCATCCTAATTTGCTTCAGACAGTCCCAACTTGTGTCTGTTGTCCTAGCATAACCAGTAACAGTGGCCCTTACCTTTCATTCTCAAAAGAGGCCACTATTATTTCCATGAAGAATGATTATTAAACAGACCTAGCAAATGAGCTTAAAGATCAGTGAAGATTTGGGGAATTAGCATTTCTCCTACCCCTGTTTTCATTCCTATTTTCCAAATATGCCATTTCCAAAGTGAAGAAAAAAAAGTTATTGACTCTTAAAAGTCAAAGTGGTACTGTGTTGGAAGTTCCTCAAAAATGTTAGAGTAACCATATGCTATCAACTAAACTGTGCCCCTCTCAATTCACATGTTGAAGCCCTCACCCCCCTATTGTAACAATCTTGGAGACAGAGCCTTTAAAGGAAGTGATTATGGTTAAGTGACGTCATAAGGGCAGAGTGCTGATCCCATAGAACTAGTGCTCTTGTAAGAGGAAGAGATACTCAGCCATTCTTTCCACCAAGTTAGGCCACAGTGAGAAGGCAGCTGTCTACCAGCTAGGAGGAGATGTCTCCCTAGAAATGGAACCCTGACAGAACCTTGATCTTGAACTTTCTGGCCTCCCAAACTGTGAGAAGATACATTTCTGTCACTTAAGCCACTCTGTGTATGATAAGTTTGTTATGGCAGCCGGAGCAGACTAAGACACTATATCACTCAAGAATTCTACTCCTAATTCTACTCCATTTTCATTCTACCAAAGAGAAATGAAAACACACGTTCACACAAAAACTTGTACACAAAGGTACATGATTCTTCATAGAAGCATTATTCACAAGTCAAGAAGTAGCAGCACCAATGTCCATCAACTGGTGAACAGGTAACAAAATGTTCCATATGAACACAACAAAATATTCTTGGCCAATAGAAAGGAATGCAACATTGATACATGGCACAACATGGATATAGTGTTACTGTGTTACAACTTGAAAAAAAACTGTACTATGTGAAAGGAGCCAATCAAAAAGACTACGTACGTATTACACAATACTATTTACATGCAATGCCCAGACCAGGCAAATGTAGAAACACAGAAAGTAGGATCAGTGCTTCTTAAGGATGGGGAAAGGTGGAGTGGAAGGGAATGGAGAGTGACTCCTAATTGGGATGATGTTCCTTTTGGAAATAAAAATGTTCTAAATTTAAATTATGGTGATAGTTGCACAATGCTGTACGTATACTGAAAACCATTGAATTGTACACTTAAAAATACAAACTTTAAAAACACTCATGAAAACTTTCAAATCCAAGGCTTTTGGCAAATACCTAAGATTTTATCACACTTCTGGTCAAAATGAAGTGCAAAAAGGTCCAAATGTTTAAGCCAGCACTACGAATAAATCATATAGATACACATTAACCTGAACTGACTTTCTAATTCTAGTATCCAGTGTCATCAGATGTCACAGTGCTGTTCTGAATAAGATATCCATGAGGGGGAAAAAAATGACACTCTATGTGTGACCTATAAATCTCTGAATTAAGAGCAGATCTCATTTTTCTATTTTGCAATGTTTTCTCTGTGTTCAAACTTCAGTGACCTGAATAAAAGCAGAATAGGAACTGTGGGAGAACTGAAACCATCAGCTATTGTCACCTATAGTGCTCTGTGTGTTTGTAGCTGAGCACCCTGAAACTAGCCTTGAATGGAGTAAAGAAAGGCTGCAATGTTTAACTCCACGTCATGTTCACGCATGCGCATACGCCCATGCCTGTGCACACACGCCCATGCCTGTGCACACACAGTCAAAAAGAGATTCTGAAATCTTAAATGAAGCCTGCATGATTTAGATACTCTAAATCTAAAAGTGCAAATTAGTCAAATCTTTTCGCCATGTTGCTCTGTAGTTAAAAGGAATCACTGAATACGTTATTGGCTAAAACCTTAGTGAAAGGCTTTTATAAAATACAAACTAACGTGTTTAATCCTCTGGTATAAAATATGTTCAAGCTAAGTGTGCAAAACAAGAAGTACCATTCATTTTTAGATTTATGTCCGTGGGATATAATTTCCAAAAGCACTAAACATGCTACACCTTTCTGCTCCCACGAAGGCCAGTAAGATTCTAGTATAAGCAAATATGAGCAAAAAACACTGCAAACATAAGCAGTTAGCATAAATTACACAAGGTATATGTCTTTATAAACTGAGGCAGATTTAATTAATGGAATTTTTATTACTCTAAGCTCCCTCTTCCAAAGTATAGAAGATGATTTTTAAAAACCTGACAATCTTTGACCTCTGAGCATTTCCCTTAGAAAAACTTTGTGGAAATAAAACTATTATTGGGGAAAAGGATGAGATTACTTTAAAGCTCTTGATAGAATTTGCAAAATTGTTACATAAAAAATGGGTGAACATTCTTTATAATATATTAATATATGTATATAATAGAGTGATATGATCAGAGTTTTGTTTTTAAAGCTTATACCTTTTGTTCAGCAGTGTCTCACAAGCATTTTTTCCACATTATTACATTATAAAAATATTCCTGGCCAGGTACAGTGGCTCATGCATATAATCGTAGCATCTGAGAGGCTGAGACAGAACGATCACTTGAAGTCAGGAGTTTGGGGCCAGCCTGAGCAACAGTGAGACCCACCCCCCACCTCAACTCTACTAAAAATAGAAAAAAAAAATTAATCAGGCATGAAGATACCCATTAGTCCCAGCCATTCCAGAGGCTGAGACAGGAGGATCCATTGAGCCTAGGAGTTTGAGGCTGCAATGAACTATTATGACACTACTGAACTCAACCTTGGGTAACAGAGCAAGACCTTGTCTCAAAAAAAAAAAAAAAAAAAATCCTAATAGTTGTAAAATTCCACTAAAGTTAAGGCTCAATAACTTTAGTAAAGTTAAAGTAAAATAAAGAACCCATCAATCATTCACCCTTCACATGACTGTTTAAGTTCACTTGTGTTTATGACTGTTTGAATTTACGAAAACAAAAGAAATCTCAAATCGTTAAGGAAAGAGATTTTTAAAAACTCACAAAGATGTATAGATAAGAAATACCTAAGGAGAGTTTTGATGTGAGATTTCCTGAAGCCTTTTCTACCTTTGTAGGTAAGAATAAAGAATTAGTGGTACAGAGATTTGGATACCAAAACGGTTCTGCAGTTAAGCTTAACGGTTCCAGGATT